CGCATCGAATGAACACAGTGAAAAAGTGAAATCATTAAAGTGAAATCATTACTTAAATGCGCTTTTTCAATTACAAAAACTATCATAGCTGATTACAGTAACTATTTATAGCACACGTTTAATAAAGTAAATGGTATATAGGGACTAGCTGTATGGATATTTTTCGGTTTTACGGTTCAGTTCTGTTAGCTATTGCTCTTTAAGTACGTACATAGATACCAGTATACAGTAAAACAGTAATTTTATTTTGAAATTTTCGATATCAAGCACTTTTGTTGGGAGGAAGTTAAGATAACATAATTAACTTTTTCATTTCTTCAATCTATATATTTTATTACCGTAGATTAAATACACAAGAAAGTGGTTAATTATGAATACCAATACGTGTGTAATGGCTGAAAAGATTAAAGCATTGATTGCTTTAATTGAAAATATTTTCATTATATTTCTCAATATTTTGAATGTTAAAAAAAAATTACATTCGCACTAACTTCGTCAATGGATTTCTCTATTGAAGCGCGAGTATGCTGTGAATACCAAGATCGAGTTTTTTTTTACCAAACAAATAATTAAATAACTTTTCTGCAGTAAATTGCGGTTTAAATTTATTAATTCGAACGTAGCATTTACACGCTTCATACCCAAAACATAAACCAGATCGTACTGGGTCGATTCATAAGAGATGTTGAGATCCACTGCTATCTCTCTGATGCCAACACGATGATTTTCAAGCATTGTTTCTTTAACTAGTTCTATGTTTTCGTCATTAGCAGAGGTGGATGGACGTCTGACATGAAGGTTTATATAAGATATTTCTTTGATGCAGAACAGATGTTCACGTAACTTCAGTTCGAGATTTTTTAAGGTTCTTTATAAGTAGCATTTTACAGTTAACGAATTCTCATACAAATTTTGTTAAATTTATTTTGTCCTCTATGCGGTTTGCTGATTTTAATATTTTGAAATATATGGAAGTCGGTATAGCTGAATATATTTTGTTTCGATTTATGGCAATTCTTCTGAACATGTGGCTTAGAAAGAAAGCCTAATTACTAGCGAATCTGCATTTTCCAATGAAAATTGTAGAAAATCTCAATTAAAACTATTCCTATGAATATAAATCGAACTAGTTAGTTATTAGCTCTCAAGTGATATAAAACTGTTTAATTTCTGTCCAACAATTTTTTCCATTAGACATTACACTATAGAAACCTGTTATCGGAATTTCGTAAGACTGTTACAACAAATGCATTCATTTATGTGTAAATTATTTCTAAGAATAAAGATTCTTTATTGTCTTCATTCAAAAAACTTTCTTGCATTGTTAGGCCAAAGACTATTCAGTTCATGTATAGACTACATGCAACTAAGTAACCTTGATAAAGAATATAAAATAGAACGTAGGTACTTAAAATAAACAGTTAGCTTAGTCAACCGTTATTTATAAAGTTTTTATTAACATAATTACTGTTATTTATAAAGTTTATATGCACATAAGCATATATGACCAACTGCTTATAAATCTCTTTCATATAAGCATTTACCCATATAGTATATAATTGTATATTGCTTTATATTAAGCTTTTGACTTCTAAATCGGTGCACTCGCAACACAACACATACACTCAACCGTATATTTGCATTGAACGTCCAGGAATTTCAACAAATATTTGCTAACTCCAAGTACAGTTAAATGATAGCCGCATTCTGTGAAGCGATATCAACACGCGCTTGCATAACTATCACGTTGTTGTAGTTGTTGCATATTTACTTGCATTTACTAGCGCATTTTCACATATTCGATCATATGCTGAAACACTGCAGTGCTGTTGTCAGTCGCTTTTGACACGTGTAAATAAAGTGGAACTTTTGCTGCAGTGAGAAATAATTATTGCACTGCTTTATGAAGATGTTGGCGTCTTAATTGTTCGTAGTTCGTATTTAAATAGCACATAGGGAAATCAAGTCGAATAAAATACTTTACAACTAGTAAGAACTGTGAGCACAACAAGTCAGTTGACTGTGGCTTTTCTTTTGTAAAATTAACTGTTTTGTATATGTTGTTCTTCAACGAGTTGCTAACTGTCAGATTATGCTCAAAACCATGAACCAGTTTCATAATCGTTCAGAACTGCTAAAAACTTTTCTAGTTGAATTTATATTCTCAGCATTAATTGTATTTTGGATTTTTTTCACAATTTCTCTAAAATCCTTTTAAAAAAGTACAGACTCATCGAAGTAGCTGCGCTCTTTTTTTCACCAAAAAATTGGTATGAGTATGGTATTTGACTAGTTCGATTTTAGTTAGGGAGGTCAGTTCTAGACTGATATTTTTCTTTAGTAGTTTGCGCTTTCACTACAGGGTTACTAAGTTCTCAAGTGTTTGAGTAAAAGTAAATTTTTCGTAAAAGGTAATAAATCGCAAACTGAGTACTCTTTCATAAGCGTTGCTCAATGAGGCGTGCAAATATTTAAATTTAAATGCAATGCAATAAAAATGGCAGAATTTAAATGATGTTAATGGAGCAGTTGAGTAATTAAGTGACTAAATTAAATACATATAATAAATTCATAATCTTATGAACTGCAGAAGTTTCTTACTTAAAGCGGAAATGATTTAAAGTCGAAATGTTTCAGTTATATAGTTCTTTTTAACTGATTTTGATAAATAATATATAAATATAATATATAAATTTATTTACTTTTATTTATAAAATTATAAATTCTATAAATATATATGAATCACTATAGAGGAACGAAAGTAACTGCTTATATTTGTATGGTTTATCGATAAAGTCAATCACTGCGCTCAATCAAACAAACATCGAAAGTTTTTATAAAAATCAATAATACTTATAGTTAACATAATATGTAATTCTCTTCTTAACAAGTCAACATTATCATCTGAGCGTGTGTGCGTCTCCAGAAAGGTAGGTGCCGAAATAAATAAAGAAATCGGAAAGTTTTATAATCAAGAAGTGCTGACTGACCGTGAATTGATACTCTATAACAAATCTGAGCCGTACTGACAAACAAATTTTCCATATTTTTGTTATAAGCCTCGGATGGAATGGCCTTCAATGCCTTCAACGCTTTTAGCAAATTTTGGTTTTTCGGTTTTGGTTATTTTTTGGAGCGCCATTAGAGCGATTAGTGCACAGCTGCGTTTAATAGACCCACGTCTCGTTACCAGTAATGATGCGTTTGATGAATCTAGGGTCTTCAGCTTGAAAGAATATTGGATTTACTTCATTCATTAGATCCAGATCTCGAGTTTGCTAACGTCTGGATAATTGTTGCTATTTTTTAAAGATTTTTGTATACCAATAATAGAAAGCAATGGTCAAAATGTAGAGGTTTGGCATTATGACATTGAGATACTGGTTGGATAATATAAAACTTCAAAATAGGGGTTGTTTCTATCATAACCTCTTTATTTGAGTGAAATGGCTGGGGACAAATCAAGTACATTTGGTGGCTGAGGACTAGTTCATAGCAAATTTTTTTAACTTTTCTTCTTATTGATCGTTGATGAAAAAGCTCAGCATTCAGCGCGTGCAAAGCCTTTTTATTTGCTTGGAGATGCGACTGTAAACATCAGTAAGTAAATTTAGAACTTTGACAGTGTTCTAGTTAAGGTTAGTACTCTAAGACAAGGATACTTCGAGCGATGGAAAAACATTTAAACAATGTAGTATATACATACTATGCACGTTTCAATTTATTGTGGTTAAAACCAGTTTTTAGTTTGTTTAAAATATAAATGTGTGGTAAATTAACCTAACAAAAATACTTCAAGACCGTCTTTCATTCTTCTTCACGATAGTGGAGTTTATGTTACTTGATGAAATATGACTTTATAACCGTTAAAGAACTATTAACTCACTCGAATTTTTCAAAATAAAATATTTATCGCATATTTTTTGCATCTAGAGGAACAACAACAATAGCAATAACTCTTTCGTTAACAATCGGTATAATCTGCATCTCAAAGCTAGCATCGTTAGTTATGGTATATATTCTGCTCAAGTTGTCAGAAGTGACAGTCTGCTTCCAACTGAATTCAAACATACAATTCTAAGGTGTATACACATACATATGTAAATGTATGTCTGGCTGGAAATAATTTAAATTTTACTCTAATTGAAATTGATTGCCACATACTCTTTTCCTCGTAGCCATAATTTATGCCGATATGCAAATAATTACTCGAGTGAACAGACCAAAAAAAAACGCTTTTAATTAATCAATATGTAGATATGTACGCGTATAAGCTTTAAAACCAACAAATACACACCCCACCCAACCATAAGTTGGCGCGGTAAATTGATAACTGGGCAGAAATTTTTAACTTATGAGTGCGTACTTGCATTTTTTTCTTGTATGTGTGTTAGTGTTTATGTGTATATTTCTAGGTATGTATGTGTATTATCCATATGTAAAATCAGCAGGCGCGCGAACAGCTGACAGCCGGCACAAAACTCGTACTTGTCAACCTTCAATAAGCGGTGCGCTGCGAATATTGACGTCACGATCGAGTTTTCAAATAAACGCACACATATAAACACACGCAAGTGTATATGCCTTCACATACATACAACTTAACGACAAATCGCCCACACAGCCATGATCCATTGACTCGGTTACGTAGCGTAGAACATTTCAAAAAAAAAAAAAAAAAAAAAAACATTCAAAGAAAGTAAGCACACTTCGTGAATCAAATGCAAATCGAATATAAAAACTACGAAACTTTTTGTATGCTTTTTTAAACCATTGCATTCGCTCTTTGAGCTCATTTTCCGCATACGCGCTCGCTCGTCGCTCATCGTTCGCTGTGTGCGCGCGCGCTCACTTCACAACATCTCAGCGTAGCTCTGCGCCTACTTGGTTGCTCACGCGCCATTTCCCCACCTGCTCCCCACTATCAGCGCCACCATCCGCGCCAGTCCCACCACATCTACACTGATCGTGCTCGCCTAATCCGTTGCTTGCGCGTCGCTCTTGTGGTAGTTCTGTACGTACACTCGCTGCGCGCTAACGTATCCAACGCTCGTTGCTGTGCATCTTGCAGTTCAACAACATTGAAAATATCTTTTTATCGAAGGTACACGCCAACAAACATATACATACATATATTTATATACTTATGTGCGAAGTAGTGATTCATTTGTGGTTTTTTGGTGAAATAATTGCATTTTAATAAAAAAAAAAAAAATATCTCATTGATTAGTGTGATTATTCGCGCTAGCTGCTAGCTGTAGCGTGATTCATTACTAATTTTGTGAAACTTCCGGCTTATCACTGCCTACTAGTATATGGATTTCTTTATCGAACATAGGAGACATAGCGCGGCTAGGCATGGCATAGTGTTTTGTTTACACGTGTATCATTTGGTGAGCACGTGGCCGTGTGACGGCTACACCAGGCCAACAAATTGCGCCTACTTTGCGCTTGTAGCCTTGGTGAACTGTGGTCCTCTGTGAAAAGCAGCCCTCGGCGCGCTAGTGTGGCCTAGTATCTAAGGTGTTTGTTCTAAAAATATCCATGAAATGTGGCGGCTGTCATACTATTTTACCATTTGTGTGTCTGTTTGTTTTAGTTGTGTTGCCAAGCGTTTGCCGTGCTTCAATTATATCGCTTATGATTATGATTTACAACTTTTCGCGTTTACTTTTTTTTTTCTTTTAGTCATATTTACTATATTTTTTGTGAACTTTAGCGTGGACGTTTTAATTGTTGACACACTTACATATGTACGCAAATATGTGTATACACTCTGTATTTATAAAACGTTAATTAGCACAATGTGAAAAAAAATCAGCAACGCAACACTTTCGTGCTAATTACGGAAGGTTTGTGTGTGTTTGTGTTGTAAACGAGTTTTATTAAAATATTTAAGGAAGCTGAAAATGGCTGCTGTGGAATGTTTCGCGTGTAATTTCTCTTTAACTATTACCTTTGTTAACTTAAAATCCAATCGCAGTACTTTTAATGCGAGTGCATAAACAGGGTGGTTCAAAAGTGATTTTATTTAAAAAAAAATAAAAAATAAAAATTAATTTTTAAACTATTTTCTGCTTAATTGCACTATTTACTTTCTACTTTCAAGAGCAGTGCAGAAACAGGGTGGTTCAAAAGTAAATAAAAAAAGTTAATTCTGGCTGCAACGAAGCTATAATACCCTTAACAGCTGCATAAAAGAATATAAAGAGATCTTTACCTTGATTTTAATCGGCTAGTTCGTATAGCAGCTATACGCTATAATGCTCCGATCTGAACAATTTCTTCGGAGAATGTAGATTTACTTTGTATAACAATCGATGCCAAAATTCATGCAGATATCTTGTCACATAAAAAAGTTTTCTCTACAAGGACTTGATTTTGATCGTTCAGTTGGTGTGGCAGCTTTAACCTTTAGTGGTCCGCTATCAGCGGTTCTGAGAAATGAGCAGTTTCTTAGGAGGCAAATAACGTGTGTAAAATTGGACTGACGTATACAGCTAAAACAACTCAGCTCGTCATGCTGACCATTTATATAAATATATTTCATGTATATATACGACATGATGATTTGTATGATTTCCTAATAATGATTCTGCAAGCCAAGCATTTGACATCTACTGCGCAAGTAGTTACTTTTAATATGAAAATTGTTTGTTTCTGCAGGAACCTATAGCCGTCTTAATAACCTATACCCACCCAAACTATTTTCCATTTGATGTTTTGCGTCAGCTGTGGATATACATACATATGTGTGTATGTCAGAAATACCATATGTATCCATTTGCATGACTTATTTGCGCGTGCGCATAAATAATAGTAAAAACAAATATTCGTTTACTTAGCTTTGCGCCCGAGCTGCTAAGAATACATCAATACGTTGGACGCAAAAAAAAATCGCATGATAACAATAATAAAGTGTTAATTACAAGTCCCAGGATGCATACAGTAAATTGGAAACTAATATTGATGATGTTATTATTGTTGGGCGATCGCCATAAGCGCCTCTATTTATTTAGCTGTCTGGCATTATTCAATAGTCGGATCGCTTGCTTCAACGGGAGCAAGTGGAGTAGTAAACTAGCTTTGACAACTCACAAGTGAATTGAAAGTTGTAAGCAACTAATGCAAATTTACTTAAATCTTTGTCTATGTGTACTATATACGTTATAAATGTGTTATTTGGAGTACATATGTTACAGCATATCGTCAACACATTTATCTCGATAGTTTAAATATTTGACTTTGCTTATATATGTAGCTATTATTATGCTTGTAAAATGTAATATCTGTTTCTATAATAAGAACAACATCTTCGTCTTATTTCAGTATTTCAATGGGGTGACTTGTGGAACAGTGCTCTCCTGAACCCGGGACCAAAAGGTAAAAAAAAAACATATTTCGAAATTTCATAATTTTGCGACTTGTTTGCAAAATACTATTTTTGTAACGTATGGAAAAGTCAACTACATCATATATCTGTCAGTGAGTTTGAATAAGATCTTTGAGCGAAAAGTAAGAAACATCATGTCTTCTTTTATTATTAGTATAGCAAAAACTTTTTAAGATCAAATATTTAGTTATAAAAATCATACATTTTTCGAAAAATTATTTTTAAAACAACACTGAATGAGACAAGCTCCACTTATTTTGAAAATAATATTCGGAATTGATCGTGTTACTCTTTTCAATAATCCTTTATTGTTGAGAAAGTTTCAAGGAACTGTCAAAAATCCGCATGCCGAGCGAATTTGGCAGCACGCCACGACTTGAAGTTGTTTGCTGAAGCAGATGTAAAAGATACTATATACTGTTTTTGTATTGAAAAATACATTTCTGATTCCATACTGCAGTGATTCTTCTTTCGGAAAACATTTATGCTGAAAAGGGTTCAACTATTTTCAGCTGAGTAAAATGTGCTGACCTCTCCAATTGGTAGTCAATATGAAGAAGTTGTTTGATGAAGCTCAATATGGCCTCTCTAACAAAGCGATATACTTCAATACAGTCAAGATCAAATAACAGTATAGGTCCATATAAAATGCGCGTGAAAACCGCAACGATAATTTTTTTTCCACCTTGATTGGTGCGACCTATTTTATGATCGTGTGAAGTTACTTCTCCATATGTCAATTAGTGTGTGTTTGGCAGCTCTTTGTTTAAGACGCGAAAAGTATTTGAGTATATATATTTCGTCATATGGACTGGTAGCTTAAGCTGGGCCAAAAGTCCAACGTGTAATGCTCGTTTTGAAAAATCTTTTTTTTTTAATGAGACTTAAAATTAAGTTTACTAAAATGTAATTAGTTGAGGTCTCAACATAATTTCGGTTAGAAGAGTCGAAATTTCAAACTCTTTATAAAAGAGTCATTATCTTTTCATCAGCGTTTATTGTATTGGAAATTTTCCGAGATATACTAAAATTTATATTTTTCTGAATAATTTTAATTATTTATTCGACCATAAAATAATTGTATACATGTACATGTACATATTAATCCTTTTGTATGAAAGCGATCATTAATGATCATCGCTATAATAAAATCAAGTAAATAGAACACTAAAACAATAAAATAACTGTAATATTCATAAACAAGCATTTAATTAGCTCCACACGCTATATCATTTTTAGAAAAAAGTTTAAATTTTAAAAAATGCTCACACTAACCATTAAATTCTGCTTTCATAAGCAACTTTTGACTAATTACCGCAAATACTCGCACAATAGTAATTAAACATGTTGAAATAGAGGCATGTTGATTATCATTCAGATCGAAGCTAATAAATTAAATGCCACGGTGTTTTCAAAATATTTTCACATCATAAAAACAACAGGCATAAATAAGTACCAATGGGTATGCATATTTTAAAAAATGAATTGAGGAAACGCTTTTAAAACTTAAAAATAATAGCAATAATTTTTTCTTCCAATAGTAATGCTTTGCTTACTTTTCCTAATATGTATTCTTCTACAATACAATCGCTGTTAAAATTTCCACAAATCATTTGTATTGTATATTATATAAGTAAGGTGAGTCTGCCTTTGAAATTTTCATAGTTTACATTATTTTCGTTAAAAAATCATATATTTCGCTGCGAATTGTAATTATTTTTCGCATTCGCTTTGAATGCGCGAATATAAAGCTTTTGTGGGGCTTGTGTTTCAGGCTATTAGTCTTTCATTTTTCACATTTCAATAAGAGGCTGTTTACATTAGATTTAATGTACATTATATTTACATTTTAATATTACAGAAATTTGCAATTAATTTCAAAAAAAAATTTATAGGGTTATATTTAAAGACGTACATTCCTTGTTCGCTAATAAAGCTGTAGCTATGTAAGCATCTAACGTTACAATAGCTGTCTTCGATTCGCCATTTCTCTGCGCGCTAGCTTTGCGCGCTGCTTGCTTGTCAACAAATTTACATGTGAAAGCAGCAACAAAGTTAGCAAGTTGAATTCGATACCAAAGAGTAGGCGGATATCTTATAAGGTGATTTTTAAAAAAAGAAACATTTTTAAAAAATTTAGATAACAAATAAGATATCGTTTTTTATATAAATATTTTCTATACTCGATGTTTTATGAACTAGCTTCATTTGCTCTTGAAGTCATATGTACTCACAAAGACCCAGCACTCTGATGAATTTCAAGAACTTGAGGTGATGTGATCCATATACAGATATATAGCTCCAAGTGCCTTAAACCTGCTTCTACAGATCTAGGATCAGATGATCAGGAGTTTCTTGCTTCATGACGCAAAACCGGCAGTTTGCACCCATGTTCGACAGATGCTTCTGCAATAACCAGTGTAGAATATGAATAGTACGGAATTTGTTTCTGCGGGTGTATTTCTTTATAGTTAGACCTGATCCCAGAACATTTTAACATTTTTATACTCTTGCAACCTGTTGCTACAGCGTATAATACAATAGTTTTCTTTACCTAAAACGAAGCGAGATAGATATAGGGTTATAAATATATATTATATATTGTATATAAATGATATTGATGAGTGTCTATCCGTCCGTTCGTCCGTCACTCTTGTTTTAACTTAAAAAGCTTGAATAATTTCTTTACCATAAATGAATTTTTTTTAAATTTTTTAACCGCACACTTTTTATATAACAATGACGTATGCAAATTCTTAAGAGTAATAAAATGAGAATGATGAATTTCAATTAGCGCAAGACATCACTCTCACACTACAGAATACCAGAAACAAATTTATGAAATAAAAAATATATTTTACTTCATTAAACGTCAGCATTGAATCAACAATAAAAAATCTGAAGAATATATGGATTTTAAGTCTGCATATGAAGGACAATAAAAACATACACACAGAGGTACATATTAAACAAAAAAAAAATTGGAAATGCTACATACAATATTGGATCACTCGCGTACAAAATTTACAAAGCCATTATCACCACTTCTCCCCGAGATTTCGATTTCCGAAGCATTGAAAAGTCATGCGGCGTCAATAAATGCACGAAATGGAAGGAAAGCTGTTGAGAAGCACAGTTAGCCACACACGCTCACCCACTACATTCTGCGCGTAATAAAAGAAAACACAGAGATAACCTTTAAAAGCGAGCAATTGCCGCATTAAAATATCTTTTAATATAAACAATTGTCCGCGGTGAGGGCAAATAGTCGAAATCGATTAAAAAAATTAACCATTACGCATTCCTTTGAGTTGTAGTGGATAATTATTGCAAATTAAAGCACGCGCGCGCTGATTTTAATGTTTCTGCCTACAGTGGTGGGCATTAATATGGGACGGTACTTGCATTAAAATTTACAGTGTAGAGTTTCAAGCGCACAATTTTGTGGTTTGGTGTTGAATTTGTTAATATAGAATGAAAATTTGTTTGAAATTTTATTTTAAATACATTTTGTAGAAGTGTCTATATTCAGGAAAACATTAATTTTAGGCTCGAAAACTTTAACTGTAGTCGAAATATTCAACATCTGAAATATTAAACTATTCAAATATTTGAAAGTCTATTTACTAAGACACTTTTGAGTAGGGCATCTCATTGGAAAGTTTCTTTGACTTGATGGTAACCTAATTTTTGCAAATTCAAAATGTTTTCACAAATCTTTTTATTAAAAAAAATTGTACATAGTAAAGTAAAGCTAAGTCAAAATAAAATTAAAAAATTCATTTTTGAAAATTGTATGTAACCATTTGACGGCTCACCGCTTTACAAAGATACAAAATTGTATTATACAAAAGCTTATTTCTAATTTGTATATACTTAGATTCTAAATTTTAGAACTACCGCGCTACAAGTATATTTATATACGTACTCCCATACGCAGTTTTTTAATTGCACTTATATTGAAATTGGCAGCGTACCTCCAGTCTCCAGTAAGGAAGCTGCGGCGCACACGCCTTGATGTCTGTTCTAAACTTTTCATATCCCAGAAAGATTTTTACTTTTACTAGTTAGTAGTTTTTTTGACGATTTTCTTTCATCACTTTTGTTCTACAAAGTATTTAAAAAAAATTGTACTTGTACTTGTTTAATTTAGAAAAAACGTGAATTCTAGCGAATTACTTTTATTTTTAGGCAGTTTTTTTGTAAAATTTGCTAATATGTTGTATGCTGCTTGTATACACTTCAATTTTATCAACTTTTTTGTTTACAAACCACTTTTGTATTTAATGTTTTCTAAAATGTATGTTTACATTTCGCCATAAACCGCAATTGTGGCCATAAATTGGATTTATTGGTTAAATACAAGCAATTGCAATATTTTCAAATATTTAGATTAGCAAAAGATAAAATTAAAATCGCTAGACTATTTTTATTTCCAAATCGCTAAACTATGTTTATTTATGTATATGTATGACCTATGTGTAAATTATTACCATTATTGCAATTTTGAATGTCAGAAGCAGCTTTTAATTATATTAGCTTCGTTTGCACACAAGCGAACGGCAAAAGAACACTCGCTAAATATCAGAGTAAATTTTAACAGCAAAGCGCAGTCGATTTTTTTATGTCAGTTTGGGCTTTTCTCTCCTTAAATCTCGCAAAGCACCAACAAAAAAAAAACAAAATAGAGTGTGCAATTTTTTACAGAACTGTTAACATTGTGCTTAGATACCTTGAATATTTTATCAGAGTTGAGCGTTCTTTTGTTATTTACAAAACTATGCTTGGTAAGGTAAGAATTGAGATGCATATGCGGAAAAGTTTCGGGCAGTTATTAATCACTACAATTCTCCGCAAACTTTTATGCCAAGCTCGTAGCAGGTTTTTCCTTAACAGTCTCGCTTGAAGCAAGTTACAGAATGAGCGTTAAATAGTGCTCAGAGAGAATTAGGCAAAAAAATATTGCTGACGAAATGTATCATATAAATAGTAATAATATAAAATAAATATAAAATAAAGGCTCAAAATTTGGATAAAGTAACTAGAACCAGGTATAAAAAAGTATTCTGTTATAGAGACAATATCTTTTGAAGCAATTTTTTTCTAAACAACTGAACACACAAAAAATTTTTCTTTCTTAGAAATTTGCAAAAATTTCTAAACAGTTTGCCATTGAATATCATATTTATTGAACGGTTTTTAATCTTCCAATAGTATTTTCAAATAAAAAAAACCTGGTCAGAATATACAATATTCTTTTGATATCAAAAAAGAACGGTAAACTTTTTTTCGAAGTTCAAAATTTTCGAATTTCATATGAATCTCAGGTCTTGATTTTCAAGTAATCATGACTCTTTTTAATAGCAAACATTATGAAAAACAGTGTCTTGAAATAAACAGTAAGCGAGGATTTTCAGTTGGTCTAATTTGCTTTAAAGTCAAAAGAACTCTTTGAAATAAAAGCAAAAAAGGGTTACATGTTTCCATTATCAAAGGTATTCTAAAATATATTCCTTCAGCCAACTACACCGCTAAAAATTTCCACTTTAAGGGGCACACCCTAAATCGATTTTTGGGTATTCAAAACAAAACAAAAAATACTGCATCAATTGTTTTAAAATTTTGAAATATATAGCAAGATTTTTGAAGAATCAACTATTTTTCGATCAACCCGCGACTCTGACAGCGCTCATGCACTGCTGCGGTGAGTCTGGCCTTTTCCGTAGATGAAAACCAAAACAAATTCTCTACTGGAAGATTTTGTTGGTTATCAAAATTTGACAAATTAGCTGTATTTCTAAGTAGAAATTCAACCAAAATACCCGATAGTTATCGGATCATTTGTCTCCGAGTCATCACTCAAGAAAATTTTCAAAATGTGGCTTTGATAAAAACGCGTTTAAAGGTAAATTGATGGAACTAGCGACTGCACTTTAGAAGCCTGTTACTGAAAACTAAACTAAAGGTTAACTAAACTAAACGTAACTACAAAAATGGACGCAAAAGAAAAAAATTTATTTATGTGTTCTAAAGATGAAATTTTAAACAACCGAAAAGTGCTATTCGGCATTCAATTAATAATATTAATAATCATTAACATAGTGAAAAGGAAATCCAAATTCCAAAATAAATATGAAATCCAATGCATTCCACATAATTTCGCATGCCTTTGATTATCTGCTGTTACTGGAAAACATCGATTTATTGGAATAATATTTGTATTTCAGCGATTATTTATCTGTTTATTTGAATAGAGTCTAATTTGCTACAATCTAAAACGTAGAACCCACGCCTGTCTGCCAGCAAGTATTTAAAAAATATTTATCTACTGAATGTACTTTTCAACAATTCGCTTTTCACTTTTGGTAAATATTGTATGATTTCCATTTTCCACAAATAATTAATAAACTCTATGCTTGGTCATATGGTAATTGGCGCAAATGCATAAAAAATTTTCCACAAAATGCCAAAATTCGCATAAATAAATATTTACTTAATAGAGATTCTCGGCAATAAATTTTGGAATTTCAATTAGATGAATTTATAAACATTATTAGTGCTTTTTTACGCATTCGAAATTGGCTTCATTCATCGAATAAGTGCTATTCATTTGAAGCAATAGCAACATAATACAAGCAAGTGAGGTTATGTGGGTGTGGTTAAAATTATTGAATTTTTGATTTTGCACGCGAAACTTTTGTGAAGTCAGGTTATTAGTTTTTAGTATTTTTTTTATTGATTTTTGCTATATTGGAAATTCCAGTATAAGTATTAAGAAGTCAATATTTAATAATTTTTTGACTGTGTATTTTTATTGTTCATCCACACTTACCTTTTCGAAAACGGTTCTCAGAGTATGACACTTATGGCATTGTATATGATCCTTACTCTCTCTCTCGCTTCTTTGCTTACGTTCTCACTCTTTTACTTAAGTTCTTTTCGTATAAATATTGAGGTCTTTACTTTGAGCTTACATACTATTGCTAGCGATTGTCTGTGATACACGAAGCGATACTCCACTGTTGACGCTGAATATTTCTATAGAGAGTAAAAAAATATTGATTATATTTGTATTTTTTAGTAACAATATTTTTAGCTTATGCATTTTTGTATATATTTTTTATTTATAAATTTTTTTTTTATATATTTCTTCTTTCAGGGACTTCATTGACCAATAACTCAAACTAACTCCGGCCTATTTTATAAAATCAAATACAAAAAAGACATTAGCAAAAATTTTGGCATTCTACAATTTTCAACAAATAACTGTATTTTCAAAGTGCTTCCAAGACAACCGATTCTAAACAGCACATAACAAATCTTAGTGGCATTCACCGCCGAACTACAAATACATAACCAGCGATTTGCATTTATAGATCACAAAAAAAACAGACATCACAGAACATAGTTACTTTTCGTAAACAAAACAGCTAGCGACTTGAACGCCTCCTCCGATGAGCAACACGGTCGTTTTGCCAGTCAAAGTGGCCACAGAAACCCTATACCTCGGTGCTAACCACCTCGCTTGTGCCAACGTTACACGCACAGTTGTTGTTGTAGCAACCAACAACATCGACATACACCACCGCAGCTTTGGACATTCATACGCTGCACGCGCTGACCTCAATTATAGCCGTGTGTAAAACCCTAGCCACATCATATTTGTGCCGTTACCAGCTAAATATTTCTTGTGTGAAATCAATTCTAACTGAAAATAATCTGTATTATAATAATAAATAAAAAACAAGAGGCTTTTATCTTAACAAAAACTATCTAACTAAAGCGCATATCGTAAAGGAGCCGTAAAAAGTCCGACATTTTAAGCAGCGTTTTAGGCGCTTAAACGTATTCCTTTCGCATTTGTAACCAGTAAGCTTCAAGACGGCCGGAACAATGCTTAAAGTTGTGGGAGCATCTTGGCAAAAAACTCGGATAGGGACTTACATCCTTATCGGTGCTGGTTTACTTGTGATCGGAGCTTTCTTCATTAGCTATATGGAACGTCCGAAATATAATGGTACTTACTGTGCCACAGAATTTTGGTCGAAACAGACTGGATTTCATACTGAATACTGGAAACAGCAAAATGATCTTCTTAACATTCCAAAGGGTGCTGCTAGAGTATGCTACAAGGATTCCATCTATGAAAATGGGTAAGTGCTAAATTTAAAAAATCATCCTTTGCAGATTTAGGAAATCTAGAGAGATAAAAGATAGGAAAAAGAAACTCCTTAATCTCCCAAAAGTTTATACAAATAATGTTTCTGGGCTAGAGATATAGGATATATATATATATATCTTTTTGTTGTTAGAATAGGTTGGAGATACGGAAATTCTAGCCATGGAGTCTAGGTAAGGTTTCTTAAGCAATATTTTTTTGAAGTAATTTGACTGAAAATACAATTTCCTCTTTCTAGTTGGTTTTAATTCCACGATCCGCCGTGGTTTAGCCTACTCAACAGATTCTTTATAATAATGAAAGGAACATTTCTTTAACATATCCATAGAAAACGCTTTATAGGCTCTTAATATTGTTACAAATTATTTTCAGACACTTACTTCCATTATTTTAGAGGATGCCGACATTTCAATTCTTACGAAATCTGCATTCTTTGGCCTTAAAGTGAAGTTCTTTTCAACACTTCTATATTCTCGAGTACTTTGTTTCTCTCGGATCGATTAACAGACCAGTAATGGGTTTTGAAAATTTATAACAGTTTAAAGGATTGTCAAAATAAATCCAATCGAATTCAAGTTTTAAGGAGATCTTAAGAATTGAGTTTAGGTTCTTTCTTATTTACTTTAGAACTTAATTATTTCGCTTGTTATAATTTCGCTTTCTTCTTATTTTACAGTTGGGCGCAAATAGAGGTGGAAACACAACGAACCTACCCCGACTGGGTGCAGGCGTTCGGTGCTGGCATACTTGAGGGCTCTTTGACATGGAACAACATCTATAATCAATGGAAAAAGTAAGTAAACTACAATTTTTATCACTCTGAGCATATTATAAATCTCTTGACTTTCTCACAATAGCACCATCGAATCGTCTTGCAACCGTGATGAGACTTCACAGAATTTCTGCACTTGGCTGCGCGAGCTACTTGAAGAGAATTATATGAGTATCAAAGAGACGGCTTTGCAACGTGGCGAACATGATCACTACTGGCATCAGATCAGTCTATACTTTAGACAATTGGAGGGTTTAATGACAGGCTATATACGAGGCGCATCACGTGCACGTTCAGATCTCGAAGAGGAAATACCATTCTCCGATTTTCTACTTTTGAATGCAGCGGCAGATATACAAGATCTTAAAATATATTTTGAGAATTTCGTATTGAAGACAGATAATCAAACAGATGTCGCTGCGGAATCAAAGAACACGCAAGTTGAAGCTGGAGGCATGGCAGCTGATGCTGTTTCGGCAACCGAAACCGGCCCAAAGAACTTCTTTCTACCGAGTGCCACAATGCTAACGAAAATCTTTCAAACTGGCGATTCGCCAACATGGCGCTTACTCTTCGGTCACAGCACTGCCGCCAGTTATGCCTCAATGTTGCGCATACAGAAACGTTATAAATTTCATTATCACTTCTCACCGAATAAACGCTCGAATACGGTGCCCGGCGTAGATATCACATTTACCGGTTATCCCGGCATACTCGGCTCCACCGATGACTTTTACATTGTTAAAGGACGTCAAGTGCAATCGATTGTCGGTGGTGTGGGTATTAAAAATGAGAATCTCGACTTGTGGAAGACGGTAAATATCACACAAGCCTTGCCGTTGGCGGCACGCGTCATGGCCGCAAATCGTATAGCGCAAAATCGTCGCACCTGGGCGAAGGCAATGTTACGTTACCCCTTCACTGGTTGTAAACAGTGGATAACGGTGGACTTGAATAAATTGCGACCACAAGACAATTTATATATGACACTGGCGGAGGATGAAAAACACGATGATGCCGCATTGCCATTGAATGCCGCCGATGAAGCGGCCATTAGTGAGCGTCACAATCGCAATAAGGGTTTGGTGTGGATCGTCGAACAGTTGCCCGGACGCATAAATCTTAAGGATGTGTCAGAGAATTTCCTAACCGGTGAAAATTCCACTTGGATAGCTAATGGTGTGCCTTACTTCGACGAAATGCTGCAAGCTAGTGGCTTAACCGCGGACAACACCTATGTTGATATGAAAGCCAAACTTGAAGATGAGCTCACCAATCTGGAAGCTGTCGACCAGTTTATGCGCAAGCACGGTTTTCGTGGCGATCTGCTGGGTGAAGAATCCGTGGCCTATGGCAATATTGACATCAAATTATTCTCGTACAATGCGCAAATCGGTATTAGTGATTATCATGCCTTCGCCGGCCCCATATTTATACGGCTGCAGCATGTACAAACGCGCGAGTCGGTGGCAAGTGTTGCCAGTGAGTCCACAGACATTGCCTCCAATTTGAAGGACGAACGCTTGAGTGTGAGCATCGATGATGCGGCGCAACTAGCGGAGCTGGAGCGCATAACCGATCGCCGTTCGGTGCGTAATGACATGCAAGCGATTGCAATGCGCGAGGCTTCGAGTGGACCGTTTAAGTGGTCGGAGGTAGCGAATCATATGTCGGATGTTAAGCATCAAGGTCATCCCAATGAATTTAACTTTGGCAAAGTGTCACCGAAGTGGGCGTGGTGAGCGGTGGTTGTACCATTCGAGTAGCAGTTTTTGTATTTTAATATTACAGACAGACAAACATACACACATACTCCTAAATTTGTATATACTTAAACACATACACACATGCCTGTGTGTGTTTTCATTCTAATTTGCTGTGTGGAATTTTAAACCATTTATCCATTATGTTTTAACTTATTCGCTTATGTTCTATCAAAATCCGTGTTAGAACAAAAACAAAGTTTTATTTAGTAAATTTTATAATTTCTAAAGAATTCGTATCGATTGCTTCTAATAAAAAAAATTGTATTGTTGCGATTTTAAGGCGTTTGTGCAAAACTTGTCCATAAACTAAAAAAAGCAGATATAAATTTATATTGTAAAAAAAAGTAAACATTAGTCTTCCATAGTGTCGTCCATTTAAGCAGGTTTTTTTTTTTGTAAAAATAAAATAAGAATGTATTGCCGGTTGTATGTACAACATCGGTTTAAGATTTCTATCTTTTATACAGAGCAATTGTGAGCATAAAAAATACGTAAAAATAGAAAATTATATAAAACAAAGAAAACTACGTTTTATTTTGAATGGTGAATTGGTGTTCTATATTAAGAAGAACTGTCTAGTTATTTTATTTACTCTTCATCTTCTTAAGGTGTGCAATTTTGCAAAAATCGCTTCTATTTCATATTAGTACTTTTAAAATAATATACTAAAATTTTCACTCGATATCTCAGATAGTGTTTTAGTTTTAGTTTAGTTTAGTTTTAAGACTGACCGCCCAGTTCAATCAGCTCCATCAGTGTATCTTGAAATTCATTTTTCTCGAAACAGCATTTTTCGAATTTGCTAAAGTGATAACTCAAACTGCTCGGGGCATGAAAAACAACGGTGATAATATTTGATTGGTTGAACTTTATTAAATATTAAGTTTCTACAAGAGGTACTTGGCTTTAGCCAATAACAGCCTTAATACGTATTGGCATTTGGCCAATTGTGCTTATGTTTCGGCATAGAATCCTCTTAATTTATGACTGTTCCAACAGTCTACGCATGGTCCAAAAATGAGCCAAGGTTTTTTGTAGTTTTAGGTGTTTCTTCGTTACTTTAAAGTTAAAAAATTGCCACAGCTACTCGATTGGATTCAGGTCGGGACTATTGAGTCTCGAATTATATTGAAACTCCTTGATATATAAATATTATATTTATATAAAAAATGAAGTAATAGTTTGCCGTTTTTGCACAATGACAAGGAGCATAATTGAGATGATACAATTACCATACGAAAAATTAATCTTGATGGTCATTCACGATTATGGTCTAAAAGTTTCAACTACCTTTCCGACTCAAAAATTAAAAAAAAAACACATACTCAGATCATTCTGGATTCTTCCTGTCAGATTGAACCAGCGCATACCTGAATCAATCAAGGTTTATTTTGCATTTGTGAGAATATATTATATAATTTCATGTTTCTTCACTCGTTTAAGCTCCAAGATTTGTGTATTTAAGCATATTGTAGACTGTTTTGATGCATTTTAAGGGTTAAAACTGTTTTTTTTCGACCGATTGCCTTCTTGAGGCTTCTTCGTATAGTCTAATTGTTAAATAATTAAATAATTGATTTTTTTTATATTGTACCCCAAATACGGAATTAAAAATACTTTATTTCAAATACCGTATTGAAAATAAAACTAATCCCAAATATGGGATCAAAAAATACAAAAAATTTAATCCTACAAACCGGATTAAAAATCCTAAATACAGAATTGAAAAAAAGCTTAATTACAAGCATATAATTAAGATTTAAAATAAGAAATTGTTTCGGAATTAACATTTTTTCGCGTTTGCGTACTTCGTGTTGTCCTATTTGAAAATAGAGTTCGCACCGAGCCATCATCTTCAACAGTCTAGAGCACTGGTCGGCAAACTAAACATTCGAATTAAAAAACATTTAATTTTTTATCCCAGCATCCCAACACCTTGGATTAAAAAATAAAATTTTTATTAAAAAATTAAAAACTAGTTGTTAATCCAAAATTTTTAAAATAAAAAATTAGCAACCCTACGTGTGACGGACCTTTTCACAATCAACCGAACTTAAATTTAACTTAGAAATCGACAAACTTTTTCTGATCAAAATATATGTAAGCTTATTTTTCTAACAGATGGCTAACATTGCACAAAAACCGTTTGGAGCCACGTCTAGCGAAAGGGTCGTGGTCGTGCGGTGAGTCGTCGCAAACGGTGGCCAAGTCAGGCTTGACGTTTGCTTCCGTAATGCTATGCGTTTGGTAGGATTGGCAGGGATTCATTTATTATGAACTGCTCCCCTACCGCCACACTCTTAATTTGGAGCTGTAATGTCAGCAATTGGACCGTTTGAAGGAAGTTATCAAGCAGAAGCAGCCGGCTTTCGCTTATGGGAAAAGAATTATGTTGCATTGCCTTGAGCTCTGGGAGCATCACTTTGACCAGAGAACATACAAGAAGTTCTTTGGTTCCGCTACACGCCATTACAAAGATACCGTTACTTTAGCGGACTCCTAGCGGGTAATAGTAGCAGTTGATATGCAGAACTGCCAGCCATACCATACATTTTGGCTCACTCTTTCTTATCACTATTCTATTTGTTTACATGATAGATAGAGAGAGAGAGAGACAGAAAAATATACTCTCATTATTATTTGGTGCCGCTCTCTGCTGCATTTGCTTTTTGATTCCTTCTCACTTTTTCGGCTTCCTTGTTTTGTGTTACCATTCGCTTTTTTCTTATCATTGCCGTTTCGACGTTGACGTCGACAGCGAAGCCGTGTTGCGTTGTTTTGATTTTTGCATATTTCCCAAATGGACCAACTGGCTATGATATCTGCTAATGGGCTAAGAATATATGCCAATCTTATTAGTAAAATTTTTTTAATCGATATTTTTATATTTTTAATGACCACAAACAGAGAATGTCATTGCATATTCTTATATATTAACATTCTCTGACAGCGTAAATTTTTCGCAGAAGTATAAAACATTCTCGTTACATGCTCTCGTTTGCAACCCTGACCATTCGCGGTTTTGTCTTCTCATTGTGTTCTTAGCACGTCTCTCCCGTAGTTCGATGCTTTTTTAATTAATTGCAAAATACAAAGCAGAAGCAGAAACAAATTTTTGCGACTTGAACCGCATTTATTTCAGACATTTTGTGCAAATTATTGTGTTATTTTTACGAAAGTGCATAATTTATTGTGTAAGCTAAGCGACAATTCATTTTGTGATCGGAAAATCAGTCGCGAAAACACGCAAACGTTGAAAATCGAAATTGTATAACAAAGCAGAAGTTATAGAAAGCAGAATTTGCGGTATGAAAATTCTAGTACATCGGTTTGCATACATATGTATAGTGCTATAGCAAACAAGTGTAGTGTCGAAGAAACAACGTTTTCCATTTGAAAATGTGTAGTGAAGTCTTGTGGACTTGATAGCCAAATCTGTAACTGAAATTTCTAGGCATCGGGGGCTCTCCTCAATGGCGACCGCTAGTGCGAAAAGCAAAGTATAATTGGGAAAATTACTTACTACGAGCACGTACAATTGTGTGTGTGTGTGTGTAGATGTAGAAGTAGCGCAAGCGGAAGCAGATAGCAGGTGCAAGCAGACGCGTAAACAAGGAAGTGAATGCGATTTCATTATTACAAATTTCTTTTGTTGCAAATAAGCAGTTAAGGGAAGAATATTGCTGATAAAATGCAGAGCGATATCAAAATTATAAAATTTGTGCGTTTCTTTGAGGTTGCAATTAGGTGTTGAGTAAGGAGTACAAAAAAAAAACTGCCAAAAAAGCCGGGATGGACGCGCTGGCTAACCGGTTGTCAACTTTGTAACCATAAGCAACAAAAACAAATGAAACATATACGATATGTATGGTATGTGTATATTATGGAAGGCGCAAGCATAAAACAAAATATATTGACAACAAATTTGGTCAATTCCCACCTACCGTTTGCTTTAGCTTTAGCATTTCTTCTGTATTTGCAGCGTATTTTTTTCGATGTTTTCAAACGTGTAACCATAACCTAACATAAATAACTACAATAGTGTACAATTTTTAAAGGTTTGTCCGTGCTGGCTTGTAGGGCCGTGCCTACGTTGGTGACTTAATTAAAAATCTACATATATACGTCCTCGCAACGCGAAAAACATAGGCACACACACATACATATGATTGTACCTACATACTTATGTAGATATGTAAGTTGGCTGAGGCTATTTTAAGCCTACACATGGGCACAAAGAGGTGCACAAATGAGGCGACGCTGGCGTTGTCTGCTATATCAACGTAGCACAAATGGCTGGTGGAGTCTGCTCGATTTTTACTTTTATTTGCTACTGAAAAAGTTGCCTACTCGTTTGTTGTATATTTATACCCTGAATAGGGTAAATTAACTTTGCCACGAAGTTTGTAAAATCCAGAAGAAAACGTCGGGAACACCATAAAATGTATATTTATATAAATCTTTAGTGTGACGAGCTAAGTCGATTTAGACATGTCTGTCTGTGCACCTGTATATATGCGCACTAGTCCCTCTGTTTTTGAGATGCCGATCTGTAAATTTGCACAAGCCCTTTTCTCCACAAGATGCTGCTTATTTGTCAGAACCGCCGATATCGGACCACTATAGCGTATAGCTGCCATACAAATTGACCTATCAAATTCTTGCATGGAAAATTTTATTTGTGAAGGGTATTATAGCTTCGGTCCAACCCAAGTGAATGTTCTTTTTTTGTGGTATATACTTTTATATATTTAAAGTCTTTGGGGTGGAACACGAAGTTGGCCCTAATGCAATGGTGGTCACTCGTAATAAATTAGTGTCTCTACTTCAAGTATTTATATTACAGCTTTATTTAATTAATACCTTACATTAATTTATAATTACAGTTCGCAAGTAGTTTTGTAATGAAAATTTTCACTAACATTGCGTGACGGCTGCAATTGTTTGAAAGGTTACGAAAAAATTATATTAAAAAAAAAACATAAAAACAAACAATAATAATTTTATGTGCTCAAAATACCGTAATTACATAGTATTTCTAACATATTGGTAATGTTTTAAAACTACAAAATTTAGAATAAATAAATACATCAATGCAGAAGCATAAACGCTAATTGTGTGCTAAAATTTTATGGGCGTAAAAACCGGAACCGCAGACTGTTTCGTGTGCCTTCGTAAGTGGATTGAGTGAAATTTACCAATAAAACCAAAAAACAAAACAAGCTTGTAAACAACTTTAAATCGAAACTAAGAAAGTTATATTAAAAATATATTTAACACAAAAAACATAAATAATACTAAAAACATATATGCATAATATAAAAAAACAAATATAATACAATACAAAAAAATATCTATATACTAACTGCAAACGTGTATAAACTCAGCTGCAATTTATTTACCAAGCGCACTTCACAACTTTTTGTAGTCTACGCCGACGATTTTTTGTGTAATTGGCTATATTTAGCATATCGATGTGCCGCAAGTGCATTAAGGCTTCCTTGTAGTTAACAAATATAATACA